GCTACGACGCTGGTAGCTGGTGTTGCCAGATTGGGTGTTTTTCCCGCTACATATTAAGTTTACGTTGTGATTTAGCCGGGGTTTCGCCTGGAGGACTCTATAGAAATCTGGCAACCTATTGAACGAAGCTGAACTGAGAGAGCGTGCCGTTCACAGACACCAGAATGAACGAGTTCACAATAACGTTCATCAGGCAGTAATACAGTACGTTCAGTTCACGTTCGCCCAAAATATAAACGAGTTCATGAACTTTCGTTCAATGAACGCGTTCAGGCACAACACTGGTCGCTTCCATATGCATATGTCATTGAAATAAATAATTTAGTATTACTGTACAAAAACTGATACTAAATGATAACATTTTTAAGGGCAAAACAAAAATAATTCAACAAAAAAAATTATGTTGATCTGCCAAAAGAATGAGTATTTTTGCTCTTAAAAATAAGATAAATATTACGCACCTGAAATAACTTAAGGGATTATTTTATTTGAAATACAAATCATTTTATTTTACTGCCAAATTGTCAAACCTACCTGCTTTAGTCAAGGGAATATTTTATGAAAAATGTTCTTAACGATATTTCAGAAAAGGGGCCATGACCAATTCCTCTGGGGCACTGGCCCCTGCTGGTCTGTCTAGAACAGCCCATGCCTATACCTCACAATTTAGGTGGTAAATATGCTTGCATGCCTCTTATTTTTCATCAGATGGGATAACGGACATAATTGTTAAAACTAAAACTTTGTGTACCATCAGTTAACAGGAGATGCCTCCAAAAATTAAAGTCTTTGTCCTTAAGTGCATTTACTAACTATTTGGCTTTCGATTTTTCCCTTGGTGTAATTGCTTCTCCACCTGAGATTCAATGTTTTTGTTTTTTATTAATACTTTAGCAAATAGAATATGTACAAATTCTCTCATGAATAAAGGCTATTTATTGTAAAATTGTGTTCCAGCCAACTGGATAGAGTTAAATACATAGAAAAACACACACACACACACACACACACACACACACACACACACACACACACACACACAC